CTCCTCCACTGATACAGCACGGGCCTCTGGAAGATCACGGGCCCGTTGTTGTGGTTCACCTACAGCCTGCTGTGCCCTCGACGACATGGGTCGAGCACGTGCAGCTCTTCCCACATTACCTCCTTCAGAAGAACGGACAGAAGCCGAGGCCGACCAAGGTCGTTGGCGCTCACTGGCGGTCCCCTGCGGTGGCGTGCGGGGAGACCGCCTAGTCTGTGTTCCCCCACCCTCACTAGATTGAGGAGAGCGGCCTCCACCCACTCTAGCACCACGTCCCGCAGCTATCTTTCCAGTTCCTAACCCTGATCCTGTCGGGGATCCAGTGGATGTCGGCCCCGCCCCACCCTCACTAGATCGAGGAGAGCGGTCTCCACCCACTCCAGCACCACGTCCCACAGCTATCTGCCCAGTTCCCAACCCTGACCCTGTCGGGGATCCAGCGGATGTCGGCCCCGCAGAACCACTCGGAGTTAGCCCCTGGGTTCCCGGAACACGACCTGAAGCCCTGCTTGAAGACACTGACGACTTCATCGTTTTGCAACCGGCATACACACGCTCTCACCTACTTACCAAGTAATTGCCCCCACCTTCTCCACTCCCTACCTCCTCCCAATACAAACCACCTATACCCGATCCTCCTGGTCCTTCCGCTAGGGCTGCCCTCTTCCCCAGTGCTGTTTCCAAAGCTGGGAGCAGTTCGAATGAACTGACACCTACAGGCACAAGATTCTCACTCTTGCTCACCACTAAGCATCTTCACACCCTGTTCCGTGTCCTTCTTGTGACAACATCCCTCCACTTCCACGCTGTCCCCTAAGCATCTTCTCTCGTCATGTCCACACTCTCACCTCACTGTCCGATAAGCATCTTCTCTTCCTGTCCAGACTCTCACCCATTCGCCCCTGTGCTCCCTATTCTGCAGCATGTCTTCTTCCTCCTATCCCGTCCTGTGTCGATGTCTCCTGACCTCGTTCACGGACGAAGAGCTGCCGATGTGAGACACACGCAAGCAGATAAGCATCCGTTGTCAGCAACTTTAATTTGTCTGGCTGAAGTCCACAGGACCAACGTTCAAGTTGAACAACAAAGAATATTCAGGTCATCCATACCCTTTCCACCACGCTCCCTCAACTACCACACGGAGCATATTTCCTCTTTCTCTAAGGATGTGACTGTTCATGTCAGGTCAGCTCATGTCACGTCGCATCATGTCAGGTCCATGTCAGGTCATTACATTCCTCATCACATGAATGATTCCCAATAAATACATTGATTAAGACTCAAGAGAAAGTGGTTGGCATTCGCGTGACAAGGAACTACCAAATCAGGCTGAAACCAGAGGACCCCCCCCCCCTCCCCCCCCTTGGGATGAACTTCTGTCTTTCAGCAGTTCGTAGACATACAGCCGGTTGGTAACAATACATGTTGTTGAGTACTCAAGGACAGATATGAAGAAGATACAAGTCCAAGGTACAAGAATATCAAGAGGCTTTGAATGGGGGGAACAGCTCAGATGAGACAAGCTTCTTTAGAAGCCTATTTTTAAAGGGACTCGGCACCTTGATCAATTATATCAATGTACGTCATTTGCCAGCTTTGGACAAACAAGTTCTGCTGAAGGCCACATGAAGTTTCCATAAGGTGGGTGGCGGGTGTGGGTGGGGTGTGAGTCTTCAGCTTTAGCGGCAGCGAAATGCGATACTCAATGTGAATTGTAGAAATCCGTGAAAAAAGAAAAAGCCAGTTCTTCAATAGCGTTGAATGGCTATGGATGTAGTGTGTAAGCATAAACCTGGCCAGATTCATGCTAAAAAAAAAGGCTCACTTACCCCAAACATAGCACCACCAGCAGCGCATTGCGCTCAGCACAAAGAGCATCTGCAGATATCAGACCCCTGGGATAAGATGTTATTATTATTACTCCTTTGTTACGACCGTCTAGGCTCGACTCTTTCTTCGAGCCTAGCCGTGGAACTCTTGACTCTATTCGTGTTTTAATGAAATTATGTACCCGTAAAAAATGGCCGGGAGGCTGCAGTTTCGGCGTTTTTTTAACCGAAATCGTCCGGGCTTACGGGATTGTCCTGCTGAAATCCAGAAAACGCCAAAAATTTGCGGCCAGGAACGTCAGAGTTCAATGCCCAAAGAGCTACTAGTACCATATTATTGTATGATGTAGTATACAATATATGCGGAGTTGTCCCATCAAACCCCATCAACCCCCATCAGAATTTAAGATTAAATTGATCCATTTCATCATTTCATTTTTCTTCCAGTGTTCAAAGATTCTGGAAGTCCCTTATGCGATTGGACTCAAAAAAAGAATTGGACTCCCTCAAACTAGACAGGAAAAAAAGACAAAAAAAACAACCCAACCCAGATATATCCAGTATAGAGATAAATCTCCCAGGTACAGTAGACCAGATGACCAGATCCACTGAGATCCAGACTGATCCTATTTTGTATACAATCAGATTGAGCGATTGGGAGGGGGGAGAGGGGAGGGGAACAAAACCCAACCCAACCCAAACCCAACCCAAAACCGAAAAAACAAACAAAAGAAAGAAACAAAAGAGAGCTGCTTCCAGAGACCAGCATCCTTGAATTAACTCCACTGGCGTCAAGCATTTGCAATTTTCAATGACCCATTCCATGATTCAGTCATTCCCCTTCCCTCCAGTTGTGGAGGTCCAGTCTCTCTCTCTCTGACAACCAGTGATAATATCATAATAGTCAATAAAATAACACATGAATGAAACTGGTCCATGTTTGAAAGCACCATTCATTCAGAAAATGATGACCATCTCTGACAGCTTCCATTTCTTCTAAGTTCTTCCTCCCGCATCCTGCCTAACTGAAACTTAACATGATGGCAATTCCTCTTCGGGGGGAGGGGGGGGAGGGCGGGAGGGGGAAGAAAAGGAAAAGAAAAAAGAGTTATAAATGTGCAATATATGATGATGATGATGTGTCGCGCTTCAGGAATGAAGACAATTTCCGAGTCAGGTCAAAAAGAGATCTATCTGTTGGGGAAGTAGCCAGTGACATCATTATATCTATTCATCAGAATCTGAACCCATGATCTGTTGTTTATCAGCAGTTGCATGTGCGTACCATTCAGTCACCAGGCAGTTATTGTTGTCTCGGCACCAGCGCCTTCTTTTTTAACTTTCACGATATGGTATCCATTTTTCTTTTTTTCTTTTATTTTTTCACACACCTTTTCCAAGTGGCGGTATGAGGCCGAAAGGGAGGAGGTTGCTCTGAACACATTGACTCCGAAAAGAAGAAAATGAAACTACTCTTCAGTACCATCTTCCTCCGAACACAACACACACTAAATCCTCTTTTTTTTTCTTTTTTTCTTTTTTTTGATCACTTCGCAGGAGGGGGTCACTTGAGGAGGTGGTAAGAGCATCCTCCTCAAGTGGCCCCTCCGATGAAGGCTCCATCTATTGGTGGGGAGCTGCACCTGCTGGAAACCGGGTCCAGCATCCCAGATATCACACCATGAACACAACACACAGCAATCCTGCATGTATAAAAGCTAAAATTCCAGTCCGATACGGCGATGTTGAGGGTTGCCGCGTGTTCGGGGAAAAAAAACTGAAGACGGTGGTGTCCAATGTAAAACAGTTGTGAGGCCTGCTGGCCCGTCCAGGAGCGAGATCCCACGAGCCATGTATGTGGATTAGTGTGACGGTGTGGGACGCGTGGGGGACAGGTGGGTGGCAGCGTGAAATAGGGAAAATAAACGCAAAAAAACATTTCACGACCAAACAAATGAAGAAAAAACTGCTAAAAAAGAAAAGAAAGTGCTCTTCTCACAGATGGTGTCTGCTCCAGGCAAAGTGTCAGATGTCAGGGTATGATTCACTGACCATGGCTGTGGCAGTCAAGACGACTGCATGTGAGTGGGCACACGGAACATATTCATTGACAATAGTTTGAGGCTTCCTTGTAACAGCCCGCAGTGCACGCTGTTCGGTTGGTCTGACAGAAATTCTCTTTGGCAAAGGAGGGCAAGAGTAACTCCATACACCATTTGCTGTAGGTGAGGGAATCGAACCCTCCCAAACCACAATCAATTTCCAGCGATGAAGCCATTCGTCTTTGCGTTCGCCGTGAATGAAACGTGTGTGAGGTCATGAACCAAAAAAATTGGTCTCGATTTCACGCACGTTTGGGACCGCCACAGGACCCCCACAGCAAAAACAAAAGAAAAACCTACCAATGGGAGAGCAAAAAAAAACATCCTTTTCCCGGGCTTAATTCACAAAAACAGACTACCGCTGATTTCCTGCCAAATCCACGATGCCTGACAGTCACACACCTTAAACACTAATCCACATACACTCCACATACATGGGTAGTGGGCTCTCGATCCAGGACTCTGAGAGAAGAAATACTTTCTTTTTTCTTTTTTTGGGGGGACCGTTTCTCGATTTATGCATGTCATCCTTGTGCAGGGGCCATGCTAATCAAGCTACTCTGTATCGTTCCAATTTTAACGCAACAATCCCAAAGGACTCGAGAGGAGAAATCCGAAAAGTGAATGGGATCAGATTCAGATACTAAATACATGCAAAGAAAAAGCAGCATCCTATTGCTAGCCACCCCAAATCTGCTACTATGATCATACATCAGCAGACGGCGTTGAGAGGAACAAATAAGGGCATGCTTCCACTAGGACTTTCACAAGAGAATCTGACTGCAGTTGCGGCCCGATTCAGTGGGAAAACGTGAAGCGAGTTCTTTAATATTTTGCAGTGGAGGTACCTATGGTACCTCCCGAGAGTACACACAGAGAGCTCCACTGACTGGAATGCTACG